TTCCCATGTTACAGCTTCAGATGTGGCTGCTGCAATGTAACTTCTGGCAAAAGCTACAAGCACTTAATTATAGATTAAAGGTTTTAAACAAGGGAAGTCTGAGGCTTTCCTATAGTGTCACCAGCACAGAGCTGATACTCTTTGTTGTGGGCTTTTCTAATCTCTAGTGACTGGTGAGCTTTGGAGCCTTGTTTGGGCTGGTAAGACCTGCAGGGATAGTGTGGGGCAGGTGCTTCTCGTAACACCTTCATGTGTGAAGACTGTTATGGATGTCAACAGCACATGGCAAATGTCTTACTGCTCTTACTGCGTTGCAGATTTCTGAAGGTTTTTCAGAGGGGATATTGCAGAGTGGAAGCGTGAAGCCTCAGGTGCCTCCCCATGCCTTGGCCCTCTACCAGCAGCAGATCACGAAAGCCCACGAGTCTGCCCGCGAGGACGTGCCCCCAAGCAAGCTATCGCAGTCCCAGCAGCAGCAGGCTGAGAAGGAGCAGCAACAGCCAAGCAGCAGTCCCAGGGGAAAGAGCAGGAGCCCTGCTGTCGGTGACAAGGAAGGTAGGAGGGTGCGCACATCGGTGCATGTTTGTCCACCCAGAAATGCCCGGGGTGTGCAGCTGGACGCAGCTGGCAGCTTTCCTCCTCTTAGGTGAAAGCTTGCTTCAACCCTTGAAAGCTCTTTAATAGCATCTTGAAGCAGGACCAGAGAGGCATGGCTAATTTCCCATGTTCATTAGACAGTACATCATGTCTCATTGAGCCTACAGCAAACACCGGGCCAGTGTCGAGCGCTGAGGAGGTGAAGATTGCCTTTATTAGCGTCTCTGCCATTCACTTGAGAGCAAAGGGGCCTGGAGGCATGCCAGGGCTCTGGGTACAATGGCTCTTTTCTACCTTGCTGGCTTTCTATAAAGAATGCTTTTAATGCTCAGCAGGGACCATTATTTCATTTAAAATCAATGCTAATACTGTGACTCGGAGTCCAAAGGTTCCTGTAAAGATTCCCAGTGCTTTCTCCCCGGAATAGCTCTGATGTGGTTTGGCTGCCTAATGAGCAATTCAGAGTTTCCCACCGTAGAGCATCTGAAGCGTTATTAGCTTGAGCACCTGGGGATCAAGGTTAAGGAGAGACGGGAAGTCCTGATGAGACCATCCTCTAAATGTGTTTTTAATTTGAGTGTCAGAGTCTGTTCCAGTTCAGAGTCTGTGTCCCTGCCCCTTGCAGCCAGCCTGCAGTTCAGTTGCGTGTGAAGATGAGATGCTGTGGCACCATCAGAAGTCGGGCTGGGTGGGTGCAATGTCCCCCAATGCTGGATCCTGCACGGAGATGGGTGCAGCTGCAAAAATTACCTGCTTATACAGGGAGATGGAAGGTGGATAAGTCTACACTGACAAAGCAGATCTGCACTGGACCTGGGCTGTGATCTTTGCTGGAAAATTGGTGCACTAGCTCACCCTCCGGTAGCTGGGATCTTAGCAGCCAGCTCTGCAGTGTCCAGGCCCAATTTATTCTTCAAGCAGTCATGCCCCTCTGGACAGAACAGTGTGTTGTTGGGGGGAGAAGAATTGGTTGGTGGCACTTGGCCAAATGTTTTTTAAAGAATAAATAGCACCGTGCGTGCATCACACTTCCAGAATACTTATATTCCAGAATACTTGCATATAAGCGAGGAAGGTGACTGCTCACCTTGAAAGAAAGGGAGTTCCCCCCAGGTCGTCGTGGTGTCACCCATGAAGTCCCATCTCCAGCTGTGCTCATGTTTGCTGCCCAGGTGGAACAGTGTCCCTCCAGCTCTCCCCGCTGGCAGCGGGTAATCAGGTTTGATCTCTTCCTGTGCCGTAATCCTGTGCAGATCTGGTATTGCACAGCTCAGCATCCTGGTGAGCTGGGTGGCACGGACAGTGCTCAAACCCAGAGCTCTGCATTGATGGCATCCCTGCACTGTGGCTCTGGCTTCCTGCTGGCTGCGGGAGGATGAGCAGATAAGGCAGATCTCTGTGTGTTAGGTACAAAGTAGGGTTTAAGTGTTGGAGGTCAACCATGCCGTTCTGTGACCTGTTGGCACTATTATTAAATGCAGGGATCTGATACCAGGTGGATTTTTTAGGGTTTTGTTCTCTGCAAAGCACTAATGATATGAAGCACTTCATTCTCTCCTCTCACACCTCTGTAGTGTTCTGAATCTTCCACGTTAATGAAACTATGCCTCCCTGTACCTCTGCAAACATCTCTGCAGGTCTTGGGCTCCACCTGTGTGATCTCCAAACCCTGTGTAGCTGTGCATGCGTGCTGGGTACCAGTGTGGGTCTGGGCTGCACATGGACCCTAGGAAACCATGGCCTGGTCTTCTCTGTTTGTGGTGGGAGTGCATCTCCCATTTGAAAACTATCAGGTTTGTGATGAAAGTCACCACGAGGGGAGACATGAAGTCCCCCATCGCCCTGGTTTTGATACGGGTATGGACTCCAGCAACTGCTCAGTGCTGTCTCTGCCTCTTGGAGTCCATCCTGGCTGTGGATCAGAGGTTAGAGGGGAGATAGCCAGATAGTCCTGGCAAATCTGTGCATGTCCCTTCCCTCCCCTGCTCTCTGAGGCGTCCCAGTGAAGCAGCAAGCATCCAGACTGCAGACATCATGCTGCCACATCCCCTCTACATGGACCTCGCATTAAATGGGAGAGTCCAGCACAGCCTACAAAGCCTTCAGGAGAGCAGCCCCATGCCACTTCCTAGCAAGGGGCTGGCTCTGCTAGAGCAGGTATTCCTGTTCCTTCCCTGCTTGATAAGAGAGGTTGAACTCTTGCAACCGCTCCAGAGATCAACATCCTTCACACCGCTCTGGATCCGCTTCAAAGCCAAGTCTTGCACACATCCTGGCCGAGGCGTTGGCTGCCTCGCAGCTGCTGGCTGGGGCCGTGTCGGCTTGGAGGACGGCCAGCCAAGCCGTACCTTCCTGAACACTGCCCTCCCCTCCCCTGCCTTCCAAGATGAGCTGCTAATCGCGGGGCCGGGCAGAGGCAGGCAGCCCTGCCTGGATCTCACCGACAGGCAGACGGATCCCTTTTCCCGTTGCCGAGTTGCCGTCGGGCATATCTTTGGTTATCGCTCAGCGGTTTGAAAGCCAGCAGTATGTTTTGTGTTGATTTAGTTGTGTTTCATTTGGCCTTTGTAGGAGATGGGGAGCCAAGAGCATTAATTTGGATGACGGATCATATAAACTCTGACTCCTTCGCTCCCATTCCAGGGGCTTGATAAACGGTAATAGGAACTCTCTCTTCCCCGTGTAAGTGCTATTTTATCAAAAGCTGGCTGAGTTACAGCCACCTTCTAATGCGGGGGCAATTAGGAACTGGCCGCATTTCACAGGCTGGAGAGGCGCGCAGGGGAGGGGACGGCTCCCGTGGGGAGGGGAGGAGGATGGGGCTCTCCAAGAGCCACCCAGGGTGCACGTAGCCTTGGCTGAGAGTGCCTTGGCATCAGAGAGCATCTTCAGCCGGGACATCCCAGCGCCATTCGCCCCCATGTGAGCAGAGATGAGCGGGGCTGAGCAGAAGGGGAGGAAATCAAGGAGTGTGGACATGCCAGGGACTCTCCGTCGGTCTGGAGGATGTGCCTGGGTTCCCCCGTACCGGCAGGACAAAGGGATCCTCTCTGGGATCCAGCGTGGGGAGAGAAGAGGCTGCAGCTGAGGTCCAACCCCACCAGGCTGCTGAGGTGCATGTGCCTGGACACCTCTGCCTGCCTGTAATGGATTTCTTCTCTCACTGAAGGGGACAAGAATAATCTCCCAGCTTCTGAGTACACTGAGCATTAATAATGATAATGCAGTAAAGCCTCATTAAATTGGGCCTCTGATAATCTACTTGCCCTATTATTAGGCTTAGCAGGATTCAGGCATCTATTTTTATCAAAAATTGATGGTTAAAGACTGGGTTCATTTGTGATTGCTATTGTTTACTGCCCAGTTTCTAATTTCTGGTCAATGTGGTTGTTGTGCAGGTGGGTCTGGGGAAGAAGGGCAGTACAAAATTAAGTGTTTATCGATTACCAGCAAATCCTACCAATCCTGCCTGTAATCCATCCGGAAAAGACGGTCTCATCTGTCTGCTCAGCAAAGCACAAGGATGCACTTGGTATGGAGCTGATGCAGATGAAGCCCCTTTTTTCCCCGGCACCCTGCAGAGCATGGCAGGGTTCAGGCGTCCCCAGCACAGCTCCTCCATCATTAGGCACTTCTTGGCTGCCAATCAGCCTTTTTTTATAGCCAGGGTGAACCCAGCCTGGCATGCAGTACACCCCGAGCCAGATAATTTCAGGAAGCTTTCCTGCCCCCACCCCCGGTGCCTTGCCGAGGACCAGAAAGCCGCCCTGCTCCCCGCAGAAGCATCCGGTTGCCCTGCAGAGCCCATCTTGATCTTCATTTGCCTTTGACAATCTCATGCAGCATGGTCGTCCCAGGTGTTTGGAGAACATCTGGTCACTTCAGGCACTGCGCATTATTCCCTTGCTGTCCAAGAAGCTGATGTGGTTATTTCTGGCTGCTTACCACAGCCTGAAAATGGTTTATAGCCGGCAGCCATCCTTTAAGAGCAGCTGAGCTTTTGCGTTGCGATGTGATGAGGGGATGAGTTTGTTCCCAGTGTTCCAGCACGCAGTGGTCGCTGGCAGTGGCCTGGGGTTCCCTCGGCACCCCACACCCCTATGTGCACTGCAGACCACGCTGTAACCAGTGAGCCGGGGCCTGCTGGATGTCCCGCACGCTGGCGGGATACCAACATCGGTGCCTCTTGGCTTTAACCTCAGCGAAGGGTTTGGCAGGATCATGGTTAATCCCCCCCCAGCCCTGATGGGATGGCTGGTGCGGAGCTGTGGGCCCAGCCAGGATCTGCGCAGGAGCAGTTTGTGTGTGGCCAAGCCCTGGCGAGGAGCTGGGCCCTGCGCTTATCCCAATGGCCGGCTGCATGCCGAACGCGGTCTCTCCTGGGCAGGGTGGGGGTGTCCATGGAGGCCCTGGCTGGCAGTGAGCACCAGCAGAGGCACCAACACGGACATCCGTCCTCCCTGCTGCGCTTTAAGTATCTGAGTTAAAATGCTGTCAAATCCAGGCAGCAACACTGAGGCTTTTTCTTTTTAGTTTGGCTGGGGAATTCAGCCCTCATCTCATGGCCAGGCTGGACTGAACTGAAGCCGCATCCCATGCTGGGAGCTGGCTCTGGCTTCCCTGCCCATGCCCACAGGGACCACTTGCCCATGGGGGCCGCTGAGCAAGCTGGTTGCTGTTTCCCTTGCAGAAAAGTCCGTGCATTTCTCGTCCATCGCAGAGGCTCAGAAGCTGAGCATGGAGCCGACAGCCACCTCATGCTGGCCCCCTGTCCTGTCCTACTCCCGGGATGTGATAAAAACCTCTCCTCAGGCGGAGCCCCACTTATTTCAGTATAACCCACCAGGCAAGTAAAAGCCGCCGGCTGCGTGGTGTGTGCCCTCCCTCCTGACCCAGGGCTGAGCACAGAGGCTGTGGTTGCAGCCAGCATCACAGGTCGCGCTCTTAAGTCAATGCAGCTTTCTGGGGAGGGGGTAAGAGAGAGCGTTCAGCAGAAACCTGCTAACACCTTGCTTTGGGCCAGCGCGGAGCTCCCTCGCTGGTGATGCAGCGGTGTGAGGGTGGTCAGGTGGGGCTCCCAGCTCTGGCCAGGGCAGGTTTAGGGACATGGTTTGTCACAGAACGGTGTGGGTGCTCCATACGCTGCCCTCCGTGTGAAGTCAGATGGGTTTTACTCCTTGCTGTGCTGTCCCTCTCCAGCTGGAGGGCAGACAAGTCGGGCACAGAACATCCTCAGACTGCAGAGGGGACGAGGCAGTCATTTAAACTATTCCAGTCCTTTCCAAAATGATCGTGTGACTTGGATCCTAGTGCAGGCTCACAGCCGGCCAGTTCCCCACCTGCAGCCCCTGCTCCCCCCCTTGCCCCTTTTCTCTCCAGTAAGCCGCAGCCACTCTGCCTTTCCTTGGTCTTGCTAACACTTGTGTTTTGCCCACAGGACACCCCATCCCGCTAAACCTGCATGAGAGCTCTCGCTCAGGGCTGCAGAGACTCACGAGCATCTCCAACCCTCCTCCTCTCATCTCCTCCACTAAGCACCCCTCTGTGCTGGAGAGACCCGTTGGATCCATTTCCCAGGTAGGGTATCAGCTGCGAGCAGCAGAGACGCCTCGCAGGGGTCGGCAGCCGCTCCTGACCTCTCCTCTTGCACCACAGGGCATGCCCATCCAGCTCCACACGCCCTACAGCTCTGAGCACGCCAAGGTCCCCGTCGGCTCCATCACCATGGGCCTGCCACTCACCATGGATCCCAAGAAACTGGGTAAGGAATTGGGTGGCAAGTGATTTCTTGTGTGCTCCGAGAGCAGCGGAGAGTGAGCTTGCTGGCAGCATAGGGGAAAGGAGGAGCACAGGACATGGCAAGGGAGCGCAGAGAGACCTGCTAAGAGGATGAAAGGATTAGTCCATCGGGAGAGCAGAGAAACAGAGAGCTAAATTTGTGCAGTATAGGAAAGCAGCAACTCGGTCAGGGACACATCCCAGCCTATAAACACGCTCTGGCTAATACTGTGATCGAAGGAAGGAAATATATTGCCGCTCGCCAGGCCGGTAGGATAAAGAGTAAATGGCCTGAAGTGAACAAAGAAAGTGTTTAGTCTGCAGATTTGGAAGCATTTCTTAACAGCAGGAGGGGATGGGCAAGGGACCAAGTCTGGGCGGGAGGGATACGGGCCTTATTTCCCACTGTGTGCGTCTCCTGTTATAAACCAGCCTTGGGTTTTCAACACCAGCCCTGTTCCCGGTGTGGGCAGCACCCGGCAGTGCCTTCGCCAGGGTGAAGGATCCGGCTTTGCTCGCCGGTGGTTGTGCATCCAGCTGACAGCCGCAGCCTCGGGGAAGTCTGTCCCAAAGTGGTGGGAACAGCAAAGGCGCCAAGGAGGTGCCGACCTGGGGCTGGCAGAGATGAAAGCCTCGAGCAGCCGAGGGCTGCGGCCCCGTGCCTTGCACCTACACTGATACGTGGTTAATGTTTTCCAGTGCCTTTTCCTGGAGTAAAGCAGGAACAACTTTCTCCTAGAAGCCAGGCCAGCCAGCCGGAAAGTCTGGTTCTGCAGCCGTCCCAGGAGGGCTCCATCCTGCGGGGTGAGGAGCCAGGGGTGGGAGATGCGTGCCCCAGCGGTGGGATGGGAGGGATGCTGGCACTGCCGAGCCTGGCGAACGCCACGCTGGCTGCGGCTGCCTGGCGGTTTCAGGTTTGATTTCTGGGGTTGTGCCCAGCCAAGGGGATCTCTTCGCCCATTTTCTCCAGCATTGCGGCAGATGGGTCTGTAAAACATCTCGGTGTTTCCAGCCATCTCTCTAAATCGGGGCATTGGGTGTTGATCCTGGTGGAGGTTTTGTATTCAAGGGGCACCTGAAAATCTGTTGCTTAAGACAAAGCAAGACCTGTTTAAATTCCATTAATTGTTTTATTCAAGGTCTTCACTGTTGCTCTTGCAGCTGGGCAGGGACCACATTTTGTTTAAATATAGCCCTCCCATCTTTCTTTCCCGATCAGCTAGGCAGAAAAAAATAAATGCAAAGGTGTTGCTTTTAAGTGCAAATTCTGGTTTGTGAAACCATCCAACTAAGACTGAGTGCAATGGGCTGGCTCCAACCCGGGACAGATACATGCAAATGAACTCAAACCACCCCAAGTTGCATCTCTCCAGAGATCTGTTCTGATCAAATCAGGAGAGGCTGAGACAGGCCGTGCTTTCTCCAGAGCCCATAAATCTGCTTGGTCCCTCCACAAAAGCAGCAGGGAGATGATAGCTTCAAAATACACATTTTTTCCCACCTCCCAGCCTTGCACTGGCAGGGCTGGGTCCCTTGGGGGATGGGGTGGAAAGAGCTCTGCAAAGCACGGGCTTTAACACTGATATCTCTTGGAGGGCTTCCCCTCCAGTACCTTGGCTTGGTAGAGATTGGGTCGAATCCTGTGCTTAGTCAGTAGTCTTAGCCCCCTAGGTTTTGTGCTGAACTGCAAATCCAGCCAGCAGCTCACTGGCTTTGTGTCCTACAGGTACTTCCCTCAGCTCTGCCTCGGGAGGGAGCATCACCAAGGGAACGCCCACATCCAGACCCCCTCCGGAGTCGCCCATCACCTACCGAGGATCCATCACACACGTAGGTCACTTGTCTCTGGCAGGTTTTGCTCCCTGGATGCTGGTGGCTGCGGCTTGTGGTGCTGGCCATGGGGGTTGGGGGGTTGTGAGGCATGCTAAGGATGCGGCATGGGGCTGAGCAGCACGGCTCTGCGATGCTCCCATCTTGTGGAGCCCATCAGAGGGGCCTGCGGCCAGAGCCTTTGGAAACAGCCTCTGCTGGGGCTGGCGCAAGCGCTGTCCCATGAGCCGAGCCTGCACAAGAGCAGAGCTCGCCAAGCAGCGATGCAGAGAGTTACAGCATGTCTAAACCCCCCTTTGCTTTTCATAGCTGTCAGGAACAGAGGCGAAAGCAGCTTTAAATGGATCTGGGAAAACAATCTTGCCAGCGCAAGAAAGTGGAGTGGAGAGAAGGAGGAGATGGGTGGAGGGCCCAGGCCGGGCGGAGGAGAGGGGGAGGCTGCGAGGTGCATGTAAGGTAGCAAGGTCTCTTGCCAGGGCTGAGCGTGCTGCGCTGGGGGTCCTCCCCAGAGGCTCGCTTGAGCAGGAAGATACTTTGGCACTAATC